TAAACAAATCAAAATATGTTATTTGAGTTTCTTCAAAGTAGACACCCTTTGCCTTAATGACAGCTTTGCACACTCTTGGCATTCTCTCAACCAGCTTCATGAGGTAGTCACCTGGAATGCATTTTATTTAACAGGTGTGCGTTGTTAAAAGTTAATTTGTGGAATTTATTTCCTTCTTAATGCGTTTGAGCCAATCAGTTGTGTTGTGACAAGGTAGGGGTGGTATACAGAAGATAGCCCTATTTGGTAAAAGACCAAGTCATTATTATGGCAAGAACAGCTCAAATAAGCAAAGTGAAACGACAGTCCATCATTACTTTAAGACATGAAGGTCAGTCAATACGGAACATTTCAAGAACTTTGAACGTTTCTTCAAGTGCAGTCGCAAAAACCATCAAGCGCTATGATGAAACTGGCTCTCATGAGGACCGCCACAGGAAAGGAAGACCCAGAGTTACCTCTGCTGCAGAGGATAAGATAATTAGAGTTAACTGCACCTCAGATTGCAGCCCAAATAAATGCTTCAGAGTTCAAGTAATAGACACATCAACATCAACTGTTCAGAGGAGACTGCGTGAATCAGGCCTTCATGGTCAAATTGCTGCAAAGAAACCACTACTAAAGGACACCAATAAGAAGAAGAGACTTGCTTGGGCCAAGAAACACAAGCAATGGACATTAGACCGGTGGAAATCTGTCCTTTGGTCTGATGAGTCCAACCGCCGTGTCTTTGTCAGATGCAGAGTAGGTGAACGGATGATATTTTACATTTTAGTAATTGAGCAGACGCTCTTATCCAGAGCAACTTACAGTTAGTGAGTGCATACACTTTCATACTGGCCCCCCGTGGGAAACGAACCCACAACCCTGGCGTTGCAAGCGCCATGCTCTACCAACTGAGCTACAGGGGACTATATCCGCATGTGTGGTTCCCACCGTGAAGCATGGAGGAGGAGGTGTGATGGTGCTTTGCTGGTGACACTGTCAGTGATTTATTTAGAAATCAAGGCACACTTAACCAGCATGGCTACAACAGCATTATGCAGCGATTGCCATCCCATCTGGTTTGCGCTTAGTGGGACTATCATTTTTTTTTCAACAGGACAATGACCCAAAACACACCTCCAGGCTGTGTAAGGGCTATTTGACCAAGGAGAGTGATGGAGTGCTGCATCAGATGACCTGGCCTCCACAATCACCCGACCTCAACCCAATTTAGATGGTTTGGGATGAGTTGGACCGAAGAGTGAAGGAAAAGCAGCCAACAAAATGTTGTTACGTTACAGCCTTATTCTAAATTGCTCATAATGACAAAGCAAAAACAGGTTGAGAAATTATTGCTAATTTATTAAAAATTAAAAACGGAAATATCACATTTACATAAGTATTCAGACCCTTTACTCAGTACTTTGTTGAAGCACCTTTGGCAGTGATTACAGCATCAAGTATTCTTGGGTATGACGCTACAAGCTTGGAACACCTATATTTGTGGAGTTTCTCCCATTCTTCTCTGCAGATCCTCTTAAGCTCTGTCAGGTTGGATGGGGATTGTTGCTGCACAGCTATTTTCAGGTCTCTCCAGAGATGTTAGATCGGGTTCAAGTCAGGGCTCTGGCTGGGCCACTCAAGGACATTCAGAGACTTGTCCCGAAGCCACTCCTGCATTGTCTTGGCTGTATGCTTAGGGTCGTTGTCCTGTTGGAAGGTGAACCTTCGCCCCAGTCTGAGGTCCTGAGTGCTCTGGAGCAGGTTTTCATCAAGGATCTTGCAGTACTTTACTCCGTTCATCTTTCCCTCGATCCTGACTAGTCTCCCAGTCCCTGCCGCTGAAAAACATCCCCACAGCATGATGCTGCCACCACCATGCTTCACCGTAGGGACGGTGCCAGGTTTCCTCCAGACGTGAATATTGGCATTCAGGCCAAAGAGTTCAATCTTGGTTTCATCAGACCAGAGAGTCTTTCGGTGCCGTTTGGCAAACTCCAAGTGGGCTGTCATGTGCCTTTTACTGAAGAGTGTCTTCCATCTGGCCACACTACAATAAAGGCCTGATTGGTGGAGTGCTGCAGAGATGGTTGTCCTTCTAGAAGGTTCTCCCATCTCCACAGAGGAACTCTGGAGCTCTGTCAGAGTGACCATCGGGTTCTTGGTCACCTCTCTGACCAAGGCCCTTCTCCCCCGATTGCTCAATTTGGCCGGGCGGCCAGCTCTGGGAAGAGTCTTTGGTTCCAAACTTCTTCCATTTAAGAATGATGGAGGCCACTGTGTTCTTGTGGACCTTCAATGCTGCAGACATTTTTTGGTACCCTTCCCCAGATCTGTGCCTCTCTGAGCTCTACGGACAATTCCTTCGACTTCATGGCTTGGTTTTTGCTCTGACATGCACTGTCAACTGTGGGACCTTATATAGAAAGGTGTGTGCCTTTCCAAATCTTGTCCAATCAATTTAATTTACCACAGGTGGACACCAATCAAGTTGTAGAAACATCTCAAGGATGATGAATGGAAACAGGATGCACCTGAGCTCAATTTCTAGTATCATAGCAAAGGGTCTGAATACTTATGTAAATACGTTTTTTTATTTAATTTTTTTATAAATTTGCAAAAATGCATGAAACCTGTTTTCGCTTTGTCATTATGGGGTATTGTGTGTAGATTGCTGAGGATTATTTATTTAATCCATTTTAGAATAAGGCTGTAACAAAAATGTGGAAAAAGTCAAGGGGACTGAATAATTTCCGAAGGCACTGTATGTATATATATATATATATATATATATAATACAGACACACACACACACACATACGCTACTCAGCATTCATTGCCATGGTTAACAACTCTACCGCAGAAATGGAACGTAAATCACAGAAAATAGATGTTGTGGTGGCAGCAGCGCAGAAGTATGTGGGTATACAATGTGTGTTGAATGAAAGAGTCCTGTCATCCCAGGCCGTTGGCATGGTGTAGGATCAGTTAGGGTCGAAGTAGTGGAATGGGGTGGTGATATTTTATTTTGATGAAATAGTATTATATAGGTGTAGGGTTAGTGGTGCAATTGTGTCCTTGTTTATTTTTGTATCACATTTTAACGTCATTGACCGCACAGTAAAGGTAGCGCATGTACAAACAAAATGTGCAAACGCCGTGATACCTATGAAGAAGAAAAAGAAGAAGCGTCACAGTATTTGATTCAAAGCATTCGATTTGGCTGCTGAGGGACAAGGAGACCCCCCAGCTCCGCTACTACGTGTTGTTTTCAAGGGATCTTGAAATAAATGTTATAACTATTTGTATTTAATATCATCACCTCTTGAAGAGCAGTCAGAACTACACATTTCCAAATATTCCACATGTATCTCTATCATCCACCCGATTAGACAACAATCACCCCATTAAAAGGTGGAAACTATCATCAGAGTAATAGAGCAAGTAACTGTATGCGTTTCATGATCAGTACAGTAAACATCGATCATGTAATTTCAGATACGTGATGGTAGCCGGCATGTAGCTAGCTAGCTAAGCAAACGAAATGTGTCATTTAGCATGCTTCATCCCAGATTAGGTTTGACATCGGCAAATCCTCGTCCTGGTAAAGTTGACAATCGGACTTCTGACATCACCACCATAGATGGCAAGCAAATCAAACAATATTAGGATATATAACCATCTAGTTTATCCCCTGAAAGTTAGCTTGTTAACTAGCCATATTGACGTGATCTGTTATTTTCTAGCCAATTTGACGTGGTCCATCAATCAGTGTAGCCTAGCTATCATGTCTGTCAGCAGCAATCGTGATTAAACTTAAAAACAATGTTGAACAGGAGATAATGTTTGCTAACTTCGCTAGGTAGGTTTACGTTGGTTGGAGAAAAAAGTACATTAGGTCTACTTACCACAAAGTAAACACTAGCTATCATCTAACAGTACACAAATGCACCCTTCTGATGCTTGACAGGCAGCGCCCACAAAGGCGGATGGGAAATTAACCTAAACCACTCATACTATATAGTTGAGGTATAGTTCACTTTTATTTTATATCACTCAAATATCCAATTAATGGTGGTTACCCTCACGTATCTCAAATGAGATGATCAATGTATGTTTACTGATCATGAAAAGCTACTTGATGTATAACCAAAGACAGTACAGTATTAAGATAGGCTAAAACTGCTTCTCCAATAGAAATCCCCAATCACACTTGTAGGCGACGTTGGCTAACTAAACTCATGCGTAGAAACACTTAATCGGGTCTAAAGGTCGCCTTGCGCCGAACTGCGCATGTGCAGGCCGTCAAAATCAAAAGGCACTCCTTCAATATAAAGTTGTTTTTGAGGAAAATAAAAACCTGTCAGTTTCTCACTTTCACGAGGTTGGAGTAACAACATGTTCAACTACTTAAGAAATGGTCTCGAATCTAGGTTGTGTCTTTAGATTTCGAGAAAATTAACAACTATTAAAGGAATACGTTTCACTTCTCTCATTGCCTTATCAAACCCCCGCATGGTCTGTTTGGTATGTTTTGCAAGCGTTCCCGAAAGTCGCGATGTTGTGCCTCTGTGTTTAGAAACTCTGTGGTATTCTCTGATAGAGCTAAATATGCACAATTGCTTTGCATGAAATAATCGGAAATGTTTTGTTCTGACTATGCTCTTCAAGGGGTGATGATATTACAACCAAATAGTTAAAATTGATTTAACAATCCTTTGAAAAGGGCAAGCAGTTTTTTTTTTAGCGGAGCAAAGGTCGACTTGCCCCCCAGCAGGCAAATCGAACGCTCTGCACCTTATCGTGACGTTTTATTGATAACGACCTATTTTACTGACGCACGTGGCGAAAAGGGTAGAAGGAGGGGCAAATTATAAAATATTGTCATTCAAACATTTCCCTACTTTGCTGTCCATGATCAATGCATTAACAGGATAATTTCAATAAAGCAATTTTGTCCCCCATATCAGTCAGAGCTATCCTATTTGACGGGGAATTGTATCACGATTATTTGTATGGCAAACGACAGAAGTGCTGGGGACGCAGCTTGGATTATGCATCATCAAATGCCGTCGAATCCCAAATCCGCCTGGCCTTCAAATTACAACTCAGAAAATAATAACGTGAACTGGAGTAAAGCTATGGTAAGTCACATTGTATAGCTAATTCATATCAACACGTACTTATGTTACTCACACGATTTAATATCAGTAAACAAGCATTGTCTTTTTGTACTGTGTACATTTAGCTCAAGCTAGTTAGCTAGCCTACGTTCTAGCCAGTTAACGTTATCTAGCTAGCCGTCTTCTGACAGTAAGATTTCCTATATTGCTAGCTTGCTTTGCTATATTTGACATGCAGATTTTCTAGCTAGCTATCTCGTTTGTATTATATGACGTTAAATAGCCTAGCTAGACAGACGGTTGAGACTACAATACATAGCTAACTAACTGGTAACTATAACTAATAGCCCAATGATGGACTAAAGGAGCCTAACGTTACTTTTTATGGTGCATTCAAGGCAACTGGGAACTAGAGGGAAAAAACGAGGTCAAAATCATGACGTCAGTGAAAGAAGCCCGAGATTCCTATTTGGAATTCCGAGATTGATGACGGTTCAAAATATTTTTCCCAGTCAGAGCTCGTTTTTTTGTCTAGTTCCCAGTTGTTTTGAACACAGCAATAGACCATCGATGACGTGACGTCACCGCATTTGTTTCGTATGAGAATAGGAAGCAATAGTAATGGCTTCTTTTTGTAGGCACTAACTCTGCCATGGTTTTGAACAAAGCCTATGGGAAAATTGAGTTTTTGTAGGGTTTTGGGATAAAGGCCAAAAATAAGGTGTGTAGTAAACACAGACTTAGGAGATCATATACGTTTTGTACTTTGAGAATCTTAATCAGCTAACCTCACTTTTGTGAATTTTGAAGCATTTATGTAATAAAAAATACCCACAAAGCACATAAAGGCTTCATAATTCATAAAGGTCATGTTAACTGACAGATATTATCTCATAGAACAACACTTTCATAAGCCTGTGTTAACCTCAGACCTTATTTCCGGCGTTTATTCCAAAACCCTATTCTTTCCCCATTTAATGTTGCTTATAGGAATGGGTGACCGAACCAGAGGTAAATCATTTCCGTTTTTTAGGACTACAAGCTGGCGAGCTCTATGCGTTTGATGAGGAAGTTTCATTTCAGCATGTCGCCATCTTGCTACATGGAGGAGTTTTTGGAAACATTGCATGTGCAGTTTGAGCTACTGAAGGAAGTGACATTGCAGGCTAGCTCAGTGGAGTATATCAGGTCAATATAGCTAGTTCAAACCGTGCAGATTTTGAGGCTAGGTAAATAAATCTCTCCTCATATTCCTACAGGACGCTTCCCAATACCCTGGTTATTCCTCAAACTACTGGTACCCCCAGTCACATTCCACAGCAGGGCACTATGCAAATGCCTATCCTTCAGGATCTGACATGCAGCCACCTTACAACCCACAGGTACTGTCTTATGTTATATCATAGCAAAGGCCCTCTAAATCCAAGGCTATATATGGTAATCAATTCCTTATCTCTAGACTCAATTGCTCTCAGCCTTCCATGACACTTTGTCACTCACACAATCACGCACACATAATTTCACAGACCGGCAGTCTGGCACGCACTTTCACACACTTACTGATGTACGCACACGCTCTCTCTCTCTCCCTATCCAGGCAATGCAAGCATATCCAAATGGCCACGGTGTCTATAACCCTGGTCCAGGCCAGTATCCGGCAAGTTCTTTCCACCCATCCAATCCATTTTACTGTGCAGACCAGATGTCTCCCAGGCAGGCCCCAGGCCAGTACCCTAGCCAGGGCTGCCCAGGACCAGAGCAGAGCACAGGGGGGTCAGGACAACCACACGCCCAGCACCAACATCCGCACCACCACTATCCTGGACCACACTGTCAAGGGGTAAGTTCATTCAACCAGTGCAGGGCAGTGTTTAATGGTGTCTGATGTACAGGCAGTTGGGTATAATGGAGCTTGTTGTCTATTTTCTACCTTAATCGTCTTCTTTAGGCCTCTAGCTATCTTCCTGGGTCTTACCCGCACTATGGGGAAGGTGGTCCTGCGTTGCCCCCATACCCCACTGGACAAGCCATTCACCATAGGCCACAGGCTGAGGCTTGGGCCCACTCGGGTGGGTATGGGGGGCAGCCAGGCTCGCAGTGGCGGCCAGGCACCCAACCTCCACACAGCCACTATGGGACCCCTGTCTGCCCCCAACAACCCCCAGCCTGGCCAGGGACTGGCACTGGAGCACCACCCCCCTATGAAGCCAAGGTACATGTGGAACACAAGGGATGCATCTCAATGACCTAAAGTGCCTTTTTGTCTCATCTCCTTTATTTGCACATATTGTTTCTAAAATAACCTCCAAGTGGACCTCATTTACTTCTTGGAAGAAAGGGGATATGTCCGATAAAAGCTCAATCCTTCCTCTGGTACCGTAGCTGTTTTGGGTCTGAATTTAATAACTTACTCATTATACACTAGTCGTCTAAGACGGGTGGGCAAACTACGGCCCGCAGGCCGCATCAGACCCGCCAGCCGATTTTACAATTATTATTTTGGGTAAAAAAAACGCTCCAGGACACATTTGATTGTCTAAAAACTATACTGAACAAAAATATAAACGCAACATGTAACAATTTCATTTATTTTACTGAGTTCATATGAGGAAATCAGCCAATTTGAAATAAAATCATTAGGCCCTAATCTATGGATTGCACATGACTGTGAAAACAGATGCATTAAATAAAAATGGGCCTCACAATGGCCCTCAGGATCTCGTAACAGTATTTTTGTCCATTTGAAATTGCAGTCGATAAAATGCAATTGTGTTCGTTGTCCGTAGCTTATGCCTGCCAATACCATAACCCCACCGCCACCATGGGGCACTCTGTTCACAACGTTGACATCAGCAAACCGCTCGCCCACAAGACACCATACACGTGGTCTGTGGTTGTGAGGCCGGTTGGACGTACTGCCAAATTCTCTAAAACGACGTTGGAAGCCGCTTATGCTAGAGAAATGAAATTTCAATTCTCTGGCAACAGCTGTGGTGGACTTTCCTGCAGTCAGCATGCCAATTGCACACTCCCTCAACTTGAGACATCTGTGGCATTGTATGACAACTGCACATTTTAGTGGCCTTTAATTGTCCACAGCACAAGGTGCACCTGTGTCATGATCATGCTGTTTAATTTGATTCTTGATATTTCACATCTGTCATGTGGATGGATTATTTTTGCAAAGGAGAAATGCTTACTAACAGGGATGTAAACAAATTAGTGCTCAATTTGGGAGAATACGTGTTTTTTTTTGCGAATGGAAAATTTCTGGGATCTTTTATTTCAGCTCATGAAACATGGGACCAACACTTTACATGTTTTGTTTTATATTTTTGTTCAGTGTAGATAGAATGTAGAAATGATAATGGACCTATATATACTATATATTCATAAGTATGTGGACACCCCTTCAAATGAGTGGATTCGGCTATTTCAGCCACACCCATTGCTGACAGGTGTATAAAATCGAGCACAAAGCCATGCAACCTCCATGGACAAACATTGGCAGTAGAATGGCCTTACTGAAGAGCTCAGTGACTTTCAACATGGCACCGTCATAGAATGCCACCTTTCCAACAAGTCAGTTCGTCAAATGTCTACCCTGCAAGAGCTGCCCCGGTCAACTGTATGTGCTGTTATTGTAAAGTGGAAACGTCTAGGAGCAACAACTGCTCAGCTGCAAAGTGGTAGGCCACACAAGCTCACAGAACGGGACCGCAGAGTGTTGAAGTGCGTTGCGCGTAAAAATCGTCTGTCCTCGGTTGCAACACTACCAAGTTCCAAACTGCCTCTAGAAGCAACGTCAGCACAAGAACTGTTCGTCGGGAGCTACATTAAATGAGTTTCCATGGCTGAGCAGCCGCACACAAGCCTAAGCTCACCATGCGCAATGCCAAGTGTCGGCTGGAGTGGTGTAAAGCTCGCCGCCATTGGACTCTGCAGGAGTGGAAACGCATTCTTTGGAGTGATGAATCACGCTTCACCATCTGGCAGTCCGACAGAATCTGAGTTTAGCGGATGCCAGGAGAACGCTACCTGCCCCAATGCATAGTGCCAATTGTAAAGTTTGGTGGAGGAGGAATAATGGTCTGGGGCTGTTTTGTCATCGTTCGGGCTAGGCCCATTTGCTCCAGTGAAGGGAAATCTTAATGCTACAGCATACAATGACATTCTAGACGGTTATGTGCTTCCAACTTTGTGGCAACAGTTTGGGGAAGGCCCTTTCCTGTTTTCAGCATGACAATGCCCCCGTGCTCAAAGTGAGGTCCATACAGAAATGGTTTGTCAAGATCGTTGTGGAAGGACTTGACAGGTCTGCAAAGAGCCCTGACCTTAACCCCATCGAACACCTTTGGGATGAATTGGAATGCCGACAGCGAGCCAGGCGTAATCGCCCAACACCAGTGACGACCTCACTAATGCTCTTGTGGCTGAATGGAAGCAAGTCCCTGCAGCAATGTTCCAACATCTAGTGGAAATACTTCCCAGAAGAGTGGAGGCTGTTATAGCAGCAAAGGGGGGACCAACTCCATATTAATGCCCATGATTTTGGAATGAGATGTTCGACAAGCAGGTGTCCACATACTTTTGGTCATGCAGTGTATCTATTTTTTTCTAGCCTTCAAATGTATTTTGAGGAACAAATTGGCCCAAATAAAATCTGTGCGGCCCTCTGTTGACAACAAGTTTGTTTGCCCACCCTTGATCTAAGATAATCTTTTATACCTCCTCAGGACCAGCACTACCCAGGACCCCATCAGCACCAGCGTGCCCCACAGGTGGGACCCAAACCCAGACCGGCCCACTCCCCTAACCCCACTAATGGCAAGCCTGTTGACTTCAGCTCACCTCCCCAGATGTACAATAAACCAGGGCGGGGGGGGGCGCAGGAGCCAAAGCCTTCCCAGGGTGAGCCTCCACCCCCAGTCCCAGCTCCAGCCCAACCCCAGGGACCGATCGGGCCTCAGTGCCTGAGCGACAACCCTAGCCTGGCCAAAGTCCAGCAGGTCATTGCCCGGGTGCTTTTGCTCCATGAGGATGTGGACGAGTTTGTGGGTAAAAAATCAGACAAGAGTTACAGGTACCTAGAGGAACTACTGACCAAGGAGCTACTGGTGCTGGATTCAGTGGAGACTCAGGGACAGGAAGTGGTAAGGCAGGCCCGAAAGGAAGCTGTGCAGAGGATCCAGGCCATACTGGACCGGCTGGAGAAAAAGGCCTTCTGAACTGAACCGGTTCTGTATATGGACGGGTCTTACTGTTCTTTTTCTTGTGACATTTGAATCTTCCACAGTCAGGTTGTGGGCCTTATTTAAGATTTAAACCGGTCCCTTAGAATTCATTGGAGTACTAAGTCCTTGTTTGTTGACTACACCTCCCGGATCAGAAAGGTTTAGATAGGCTGATTGTCAACAAGGGCGTAGGGGTTGGTTTGGAATCGGGCCAGTTTGGGCTACTTTATGCAGGTGTGATCACAACATAGTCTCCTGTAGCTCAGTTGGTAGAGCATGGATGTGCAACGCCAGGGTTGTGGGTTCGTTTCCTACGGGGGGCCAGTATGAAAATGTATGCACTCACTAACTGTAAGTCGCTCTGGATAAGAGCGTCTGCTAAATGACTAAAATGTAAAAAATAAAAACATACATAAGAGATACCATTTCAAAGTAGTCATGATGGCAAATTGAATGGTTGTACATATCAAGTTATGGTTTTGTTAGGTTAGTTTTCATAACCCGACGTTAGTGTCCATGACTGCTTAAAGCATCTGTTATGTCATACTTATGCCAGTGTAATGTAGTGTCACCACGTTCCTTTCAAAGTAGGTAGATATTGCCCCTTAATCACTGATACAGGGTCAGATATATTTTCGGTTAGGATTCGGGGTAGGCTGATCTGATCCTAGATCTGTGGTCAAAGGCCACTTCTACCATGAGTGTTCCATTCACCATGTTTTCTTACATAATGTGAACCAATGGCAGTGCCATGAGATTTCCCCTTTATCACTCAGCCTAACATTTTCACCCACTTGTCATTGCAAGCAGAATGCAAGCAGGGTGCATTCACACACAGCCTTCCAAATCGGTACTGGGTAATATTACACTGTATTCTGTTTATTTTACACTTTCCTTCAGTATATACAAAGGTAGGGTCAATAGCTTTTCAATGCAGTTGATGAAATACATTTATTGAAATTCTGTTAATGAATTGAAAAGTTGCTCAGTGAAAATATTGAGCAAGTTTCAATTCACATTCTGAATAGATGGAATTGATCCCAACCCTGGTATGTACTGTTTAGTAGTTGGTCTACAACTCCTTCACAATGCGATTGCCATTGACTGGTGGTAGACATTGTCCGTAAGTGCAGATCTAGGATTAGATTTTAGATGGATGAAAAGGAAAACTGACCTTAGATCCTGTCCCAGTCCTTCCTTCCTTTGGAGTCTCCCGAGTGGCGCAGTGGTCTAAGGCACTGCATCGCAGTGCTAGCTGTGCCACTAGAGATCCTGGTTCGAATCCAGGCTCTGTCGTATCCGGCCGCGACCGGGAGACCCATGGGGCGGCGCACAATTGGCCCAGCGTCGTCCAGGGTAGGGGAGGGAATGGCCGGCAGGGATGTAGCTCAGTTGGTAGAGCATGGCGTTTGCAACGCCAGGGTTGTGGGTTCGATTCCCACGGGGGGCCAGTAAGAATAAAATAAAATGTAATGTACTCACTAACTGTAAGTCGCTCTGGATAAGAGCGTCTGCTAAATGACGTAAATGAAATGAATGAAATGAGTAATCTCTGACCATTCTACCACATAGTTTGACCAATCCAGTCTCAGACCAGTGACTATTTTGAAGGAAGGATGCATTGTCAAAGTATTGGAAGAGGAGGTTGGATCAACAATTTCCTAGACTGTGATCAGTTCTTATAAATCACAAGTGCCATAATATCGGCAGCTGCTTTTTCAAATCGTAAAAAAATAAACAATCTCTAAAGCTTTGCATGGAACAAAATCTTATGTTTGTCATATTTTTTTATTTTTTTTTCGTGTGCTGGTTTGTTTTGTGTTAAGATAGAGCATTGCATATTAGTTCATGATTGACATTTGTGTGTAACAGAAGACCGGTAACAAATACAGGGACCAAGGTCATGTCATGTTTCCAACACTAGATGGAAATATTTGCCTGACTGATTTAGAAATGACTTTGCTTATATACAGTGCCTTGCAAAAGTATTCATCCCCCTTGGCGTTTTTCCTATTTTGTTGCATTACAACCTGTAATTTAAATTGATTTTTATTTGGATTTCATGTGATGGACATACACAAAATAGTCCAAATTGGTGAAGTGAAATGAAAAAAAAAACTTGTTTCAAAAAAATTAATAACGGAAAAGTGGTGCGTGCATATGTATTCACCACCTTTGCTATGAAGCTCCTAAATAAGATCTGGTGCAACCAATTACCTTCAGAAGTCACAGAATTAGTTAAATGAAGTCTACTTGTGTGCAATCTAAGTGTCACATGATCTGTCACATGATCTCAGTGTATATATACACCTGTTCTGAAAGGCCCCAGAGTCTGCAACACCACTAAGCAAGGGGCACCACCAAGCAAGCGGCACCATGAAGACCAAGCAGGTCAGGGTAAAAGGTGTGGAGAAGTACAGTTCAGGGTTGGGTTATAAAATATAAAACAAATAACCGAAACTTTGAACATCCCACGGAACACCATTAAATCCATTATTAAAAAATGGAAAGAATATGGCACCACAACAAACCTGCCAAGAGAGGGCCGCCCACCAAAACTCACGGACCAGGCAAGGAGGGCATTAATCAGAGAGGCAACAAAGAGACCAAAGGTAACCCTGAAGGAGCTGCAAAGCTCCACAGTGGAGATTGGAGTATCTGTCCATAGGACCACTTTAAGCCGTATACTCCACAGAGCTGGGCTTTACGGAACAGTGGCCAGAAAAAAGCCATTGCTTAAAGAAAAAAATAAGCAAACACGTTTGGTGTTTGCCAAAATGCATGTAGGAGACTCCCCAAACATATGGAAGAAGGTACTCTGGTCAGATGAGACTAAAATTGAGCTTTTTGGCCATCAAGGAAAACGCTATGTCTGGCGCAAACCCAACACCTCTCATCAACGTGAGAACACCATCCCCACAGTGAAGCATGGTGGTGGCAGCATTATGCTGTGGGGATGTTTTTCATTGGCAGGGACTGGGAAACTGGTCAGAATTGAAGGAATGATGGATGGCGCTAAATATACAGGGAAATTCTTGAGGGAAAACTGTTTGTCTTCCAGAGATTTGAGACTGGGACGGAGGTTCACCTTCCAGTAGGACAATGACCCTAAGCATACTGCTAAAGTAACACTCGAGTGGTTTAAGGGGAACCATTTAAATGTCTTGGAATGGCCTAGTCAAAGCCCAGACCTCAATCCAATTGAGAATCTGTGGTATGACTTAAAGGTTTCTGTACACCAGCGGAACTCATCCAACTTGAAGGAGCTGGAGCAGTTTTGCCTTGAAGAATGGGCATAAATCCCAGTGGCTTTTTTGTCTTTTTTTTAAATTATTTTGTTTCACAAGAAAAAATATTCTACATCTTCAAAGTGGTAGGCATGTTGTGTAAATCAAATGATACAAACCCCCCAAAAATTCATTTTAATTCCAGGTTGTAAGGCAACAAAATAGGAAAAATGCCAAGGGGGGTGAATACTTTTGCAAGCCACTGTAGCTCAAACTGAGGCCTTGCATTAAATGTCAGGACATTTTTTAAATATTTTGTATTTATGCAATTGTAGTCTTTTAGGAAAGAATGCCATTAACACTCACAATTAACAAGAGTTCGTCATATGATAAAAATACCATAAACGCTCACAATTAACAAGAGTTCGTCAAATGATAGGTGGGAGAGAGAAAATTAAAAGGTTTGAATGAAGTAAAGGGTGCTGATAGTGAGACAATCAGAACACTCACTGAATTTGATTTGTGGGACAGCGTCAGAAGGCTTTGAAGACTCACTGGAGCGAACAACTTTATTAATCCTACACCTGTTCATTCAATCCCTCTTCAGGATTCCTGTGAAACTAATCAACAATCAATCACTTTGCTGCTCTAAAGTATGGAGATATACAGTAGGCACTCTGTGTCCCTTGCATGGTGATAGACAAGGGCCCAGTTTCCCAAAAGCATAGGATCCTATGGTTCTAACGATGAACTTAGCCCTAAGATGCTTTTGGGAAACCAGGCCCTGATTCTTCATACAGTAGGGCTCATTTACACTACCCTTTCCAAAACCGGTTCCAGTGAAAGGCGGCAGCAGCAGCTGCAAAAAAGTGTCTAAACTGTCGGACCGGGCTTCAAACCACTTTGAAAAACTGATTTCTACGTAACCTACGGAGGTATTGTAGCAGAGATTTACCAGATATTTAAAAAGCAAAACAAATGTATTTTACCTCAACTTCCCCCGTCCTGGAACGGCAGACCCCCTCCTCGTAAGGTGGAGATTGACCTGAGTTCACCATGGCTGGCAGTGTTTGAGTTGGAATGACTGCTCTTCACTGGGAAAGCCATCATCTCCCATGCAGACGAAGTGTGGCGCAGACTTTAAATTGGAGACCAGTAAGTGCAGTGACACTACTTTTCCTTTTATATTGGTTGACACTGAAAAATATGGTCCGGATAAATGGACAAGAATTGTGTACATCAAGGGAACCACAGAGATTAATCCAAGGCATGTTTTGGACAAGGCTGAGGTGTGAGTGAGGGGAGCTGATTTGTAAATCAGTTTTTAAATGCCAGGGCCCTAAAGTAAAGTGTACTCTGAAGCAGAGTTCTGTATCGGGAAAGTGTATAGGTTAATCTGGTCACAGTTCCCAATGTAGGTCTAGCATCAACTTCAGGCTTCAGTGTCCAGAACTTCAAGTTTGTACACAACCCTGGAAATGACTTGTCCATTGTAGACTGCATTTATTTGTTTATTCTAGACCTGTCCTCAACATGTATAAACATCTACAGTATTTTCATAGTTGTGCGATATTATGTTTTTTTATACTTGAAACGTGTGGTTTTCATAGGGACAGTGCTATGAACGTCGCCCAGCTGACAAACCATCGTGTCACCCATGTCTTGGATGCAAACCAGAGTAAATGACGAGACTGGGCGGAGACATACCAGGGCACGAACATCAAGTACCTTGGCATCGAGGCCCACCACTCCTGTATATTTTACATGATTGTCAACTTCCAGACTGCTCTGAATTCATCCACTGGGCCCTCAGTGTTCAGCAAAGTGGAACGTTGCAAAAAAAGTGAGTTCAATAGTGATAAGTACTCTATCATTGTATGTACTAGCTTGTTACAGAGTAATACGTTGTTACACTAGGGAATGCCTGTATAATGTTAAGTGTGGTTATGGCCAAGTGTATGATGAAATGTATATTGAAGAGTTGTTTCCTTTCCAAACATGACATTTCTAGCTGCAACGCACTGAAAGGTCACACTAAAAGGAGGCAAGTTAACACACTGCTTAGTGTGCAAAATCCATGTTCTCTCTCTCCCCCCCTCCCTCTTTCTACCCTCTACCCCCACCTTTCCCTCAGGTATAGTGCTGGTGCACTGTGCGGTGGGGGTGAGCCATTCAGCCACCCTGATTCTGGCCTACCTGATGCTGAAACAGAACCTGACCCGGTGGATGCCATCTGTGCCGTGAAGGACACCCATGGTGTGATCCCCAACAGAGGCTTCCTCAGACAGCTCATCAACTTGGACACCAAACTTTATGGCTGCCTCCGCAAAACCTCCTACACCTAGAAGTCTCTGATTATATCAGGTTCTGTTTTATTCAGTTCTTTTTGTGGGTCATACACTGAACAAAAATATAAATGCAACATGTAAAGTGTTGGTCCCATGTTTCATGAGCTGAAATAAGATCCAATACATTTTCCATACGCACAAAAAGCTTATTTCTCTCAAATTTTGTGCATAAATTTGTTTACATCCCTGTTAATGAGCATTTCTCCTTTGACAAGATAATCCATCCACCTGACAGGTATGGCATATCAAGAAGCTGAATAAACAGCATGATTATTACACAGGTGCACCTTGTGCTGGGGACAATAAAAGGCCAGATGAATCACGTTTTAAGGGAGCGTGCAATTGGCATGCTGACTGCAGGAATGTCCACCAGAGCTGTTGCCAGATAATTTAATGTTAATTTCTCTACCATAAGCCGCCTCCAATGTCATTTTAGAGAATTTGGCAGTACGTCCAACCGGCCTCACAACCGCAAACCACAAGTATCGCGTCGTGTGGGTGAGCAGCTTGCTGATGTCAACGTTGTGTACAGAGTGCCCCACGGTGGCTGTGAGGTTATGGTATGGGCAGATACAGTGAGGGGAAAAAAGTATTTGATCCCCTGCCGATTTTGTACGTTTGCCCACTGACAAAGAAATGATCAGTCTATAATTTTAATGGTAGGTTTATTTGAACAGTGAGAGACAGAATAACAACAACAAAATCCAGAAAAACGCATGTCAAAAATGTTATAAATTGATTTGCATTTTAATGAGGGAAATAAGTGTTTGACCCCTCTGCAAAACATGACTAAGTACTTGGTGGCAAAACCCTTGTTGGCAATCACAGAGGTGAGACGTTTCTTGTAGTTGGCCACCAGGTTTGCACACATCTCAGGAGGGATTTTGTCCCACTCCGCTTTGCAGATCTTCTCCAAGTCATTAAGGCTGACGTTTGGCAACTGGAACCTTCAGCTCCCTCCACAGATTTGTTATATATATTTTTTCCTATGGGATTAAGGTCTGGAGACTGGCTAGGCCACTCCAGGACCTTAATGTGCTTCTTCTTGAGCCACTCCTTTGTTGCCTTGGCCGTGTGTTTTGGGTCATTGTCATGCTGGAATACCCATCCACGACCCATTTTCAATGCCCTGGCTGAGGGAAGGAGGTTCTCACCCAAGATTTGACGGTACATGGCCCTGTCCATCGTCCCTTTGATGCGGTGAAGTTGTCCTGTCCCCTTAGCAGAAAAACACCCCCAAAGCATAATGTTTCCACCTCCATGTTTGACGGTGGGGATGGTGTTCTTGGGGTCATAGGCAGCATTCCTCCTCCTTGAGTTGAGTTGATGCCAAAGAGCTCCATTTTGGTCTCATCTGACCACAACTCTTTCACCCAGTTCTCCTCTGAATCATTCAGATGTTCATTGGCAAACTTCAGTAGGGCATGTATATGTGCTTTCTTGAGCAGGGGGACCTTGCGGGCGCTGCAGGATTTCAGTCCTTCACGGCGTAGTGTTTTACCAATTGTTTTCTTGGTGACTATGGTCCCAGCTGCCTTGAGATCATTGACAAGATCTTCCCGTGTAGTTCTGGGCTGATTCCTCACCGTTCTCATGATCATTGCAACTCCACGAGGTGAGCTCTTGCATGGAGCCCCAGGCCGAGGGAGATTGACAGTCATTTTGTGTTTCTTCCATTTGCGATGAATCGCACCAACTGTTGTCACCTTCTCACCAAACTGCTTGGCGATTGTCTTGTAGCCCATTCCAGCCTTGTGTAGGTCTACAATCTTGTCCCTGACATCCTTGGAGAGCTCTTTGGTCTTGGCCATGGTGGAGAGTTTGGAATCTGATTGATTGATTGCTTCTGTGGACAGGTGTCTTTTATACAGGTAACAAACTGAGATTAGGAGCACTCCCTTTAAGAGTGTGCTCCTAATTTCAGCTCGTTAACTGTATAAAAGACACCTGGGAGCCAGAAATCTTTCTGATTGAGAGGGGGTCAAATACTTATTTCCCTCATTAAAATGCAAATCAATTTATAACATTTTTGACATGCGTTTTTCTGGATTTGTTTGTTGTTATTCTGTCTCTCACAGTTCAAATAAACCTACCATTAAAATTATAGACTGATCATTTCTTTGTCAGTGGGAAAACGTACAAAATCAGCAGGGGATCAAATATTTTTTTCCCTCACTGTATAAGCTACAGACAACGAACACAATTGTGTTTTATCTATGGTAATTTTAATGCACAGAAATACCGTGACAAGATCCCAAGGCCCATTTCGTTTAAGGTATCTGTGACCAACAGATGCATATCTGTATTCCTAGTCATGTGAAATCCATAGATTAGGGCCTAATGTATTTATTTCAATTGTCTGATTTCCTCATATGAACTGTAACTCATTAAAATCTTTGATCATGTTTATTTGTACATCAATCAAATGTATTTATAAAGCCCTTTTTACATCGGCAGATGTCACAAAGTGCTATACAGAAACCCAGCCTAAAACCCCAAACAGCAAGCAATGCAGATGTTGAAGCATGGTGGCTAGGAAAAACTCACTGGAAAGGCAGGAACCTAGGAAGAAACCTAGAGGGACCAGGCTCTGAGGGGTGGCCAGTCCTCTTCTGGATGTGCCCGGGTGGAGATAGTACATGGCCATTAAGGCCAGATTGTTCTTCAAGATGTTCATACATTCCTAGATGACCAGCTGGGTGGGTGAGTGAGTGAGAGCCAAAAACAGCAGGTCCGGGACAAGGTAGCACATCCGGTGAACAGGTCAGGGTTCCACAGCCGTAGAACAGTTGAACCTCCCTTCAGGGATCTGAGACATCACTGATGGTTCGGAGGTCAAACTTCAGAAATCTGTCTTATTGGGAAGTAAATGACAATATGAAAGAGAGGGTGAAAAGCTTCAAGTGCCTCGGCATGCACATCACTGACAACCTGAAATGGTCCATCCACACAGACGGTGTGGTGAAGAAGGCGCAACAGCGCCTCTTCAACCTCAGGAGGCTGAAGAAATTCGTCTTGGCCCCTAAGACCATCACAAACTTCTACAGGTGCACCATTGAGAGCATCCTGTCAGGCTGTATCAAGGCCTTGTACGGCAACTGCACCGTTCGCAAACGCAGGGCTCTCCAGATGGTGGTGCGGTCAACACAACGCATCACTGGGGGCTGACTGCCTGCCCTCCAGGACATCTACAGTACCCTGTGTCACAGGAAGGTCAAGAAGATGATCAAGGACATCAGCCACCCAAGCCATGGCCTTTTCACCCCGCTACCATCTAGAAGGCAGAGACAGTACAGGTGCATCAAAGCTCGGACCGAGAGACTGAAAAACAGCTTCTTTCTCCAGGCGATCAGACTGTTAAATAGTCACCACTAGCCGGCCTCCGCCCAGTACCCTGCCCTAACTTTAGTCACTGTTACTAGCTGGCTACCACCCGGTTTTCAACCCTGCACCTTAGAGACTGCTGCCCTATGTACATAGTCATTGAACACTGGTCACTTTAATAATGTTTACATACAGTTTTACCCACTTCATATTAGAGCCCTTTACGGGCATGACATTTTTGCCTGAGCCCTACCCATGCCGTCGTGGTTCAGGCCCTACCCTACCCAGGCACAATTTGCTTCTGCCAAATTGAAGGCCTGGAATGACCGAAATCAGAAATAACTTCCTCCATTGGAGAGGAGCAGCTAATGGATTTACTGTCTGTAACTCGCTCTCTGCGCACAGCTCGCTCTGCATGCGTTCTGCTCAGAGTCTGTGAGTATCCATAGGAATGGCTTCCGCTTGGGCTGCTCTTCTCAATGAAGAGACATGAGAGAGCAGTTAGCTGTTAGCTACTTTTCGTCACCTAATTCCGACAAAACTCAAGGAACCTTATTATTTTCTGTGAAATAATCTCTCCTGTCTTATATTTGCAGAGGTTGAAGCGCATCTGCCACCATGTTATGATCTTAGTCAGATATGACTGTACTGGGCCTCCCGAGTGGCGCAGTGGTCTAAGGCACTGCATCGCAGTGCTAGCTGTGCCACTAGAGATCCTGGTTCGAGTCCAGGCTCTGTCGCAGCCAGCCGCGACCGGGAGACCCATGGGGCGGCGCACAATTGGCCTTGCGTCGTCCGGCAGGGATGTTCTTGTCCCATCGCGCACTAGCGACTCCTGTGGCGGCCCGGGCGCAGTGCACGCTGACACGGTTGCCAGGTGTACGGTGTTTCCTCTGACACATTGGTGCGGCTGGCTTCCGGGTTTAAGCGGGCAAGAATCAGTGCGGCTCGGTTGGGTTGTGTTTCGGAGGACGCACGGCTCTCGACCTTAGCCTCTCCCGAGTTCGTACGGGAGTTGCAGCGATGGGACAAGACTGTAACTACCAATTGGATACCACGAAATTGGGGAGAAAAAGGGGTAAAAAAAAATTATACAAAAAAAAGACATGACCGTACTGCGCAGCAGAGCACGAACAAAAGGCTAAGCTTCAAAATGTTAGTGATCAATTTAGTGATACCTGAGCCCTGCCTGTATCCTATTTATTGATTAAAAAACAGGCCCTACCCGGCCCTAACCCGATGTATAATGTCAGGGCCCATCGGGGTCGGGTAGCTGAGCTCTACTTCATGTGTGTGTGTATATACTGTATTCTAGTCAAGACTCATACTATATAACTACTGCTGTACAGACTTGTTCTATTCATATACTGTCCATAATGTCTATACACACCATCATACATGCACACTCAGTAGAAGTCGGAAGTTTACATACACCTTAGCCAAATACATTTAAACTCAGTTTTTCACAATTCCTGACATTTAATCCTAGTAAAAATTCCATGTCTTAGGTCAGTTAAGATCACCACTTTATTTTAAGAATGTGAAATGACAGAATAATAGTAGAGAGAATGATTTATTTCAGCTTTTATTTATTTCATCACATTCCCAGTGGGTCAGAAGTTTACATACTCAATTAGTATTTGGTAGCATTGCCTTTAAATTGTTTAACTTAG